GCCGAAAGGAGATACAGAACTTGCTAGGCTGTCAAGAGCGCATTGCGCATTTTCCATAGATTCGAACAGGCATACGATGTCATCAGGGTACTCCAAATCGCACAGCTTTTCTCTAGCTGCCCATTCATTACCTACGATCGATTTTTCAGATTGGCTTAGTACACAAAAAATGATTACTTCTTTCGAAGCGACTAATCGACAGCAGTGGTGCTCTTGTTCTTATCTGCTATCAGGTCAGAATGCTTGAAAAGGTATGTATGCATATTTAGATTGTGTACGGTGCGTTGACCACAAACGTTCACTTTCTTTTCCATCCTCCAATTAGGCCCAATCCCCTTCCATCTTGTACTTTATCGCTTAATTTCTGTACATTGTGAGCTTAGCAGCGATCAGCGAAGTTCGCTTTACTGTATCTCGCTGTATGATGATGATGGTGATGATGTGCGAAAAGCAGTTCATAGACGGGTGGTGTCCTTTTGGTCAGATTTCATGTCCCATGCACGCGTTTCTAACATCGAGCAAGGCAGACATTTAGACTTCTCAAGTTGATGTTAACTCCAACGATACGAGTAGGACCTTCCCAAAAGTTACTTCAGGAGGTACACTCCGTTATAATATTTCTTGGTGAGTGTCTTCAGTACCCTCGAAGAACCTGTGGGCGGATAAGTCGGCATCAATAACAGCGGTCCAAACACGGTGATCCTTGGCAAGGTCCACTGAGGTTATGTTCCGATTTCTGACAAACGAACTGTAACCCCATCTGGCCCATGTTAAAAGTACATAACAAGAACTCTTATCCGGAGGCGGATTCAATACATATGCCAGTCTTCACAGTTAACAAAAATGCAAGACTTGCTTGGGCGAACGAACAAAACTAATCAATACATAATATGTTCGTTCGAGTACCCCATGAAATTCAGGACTGCAATAGTCTTATAGACAGTAGTATTGAAACGACAGCACTACATAAGGAAAGACGTCTGACGGTTGGATTGATCGTAGATCAGAGCCTTCACGGACGGGAACCCGCTGAAGTGAAAGGAACGACTGGAGAGGGATAACATGACAGATACGCCTGTGATTCGCATTTCTTTAAAGATCAGCGAGCTATCGATCACAAATCCAATCCCATAAGAAAAGTTCATCTGTGGACAACCACTGGCTTTCTGCTTACCATCCGTGTTCTCCCTGTGAGTGTCAAATTAGTCGATAAGACAACAGTGAACGAATGTAGGAGTGAAGTATATCTGGAGCTATTTCTCTATCGTTTAGGTCCTCGTGATTTGCCGAAAATTGATAAACCGCATAAGCGTATAACCTTTTGGCCTACAGGCTTCCGGTTCGCCAACGATCCCATTGCGTAAGGCTGGGTACCAATCCCGAAAGGAGGATCGATAATCTATGCATTTGTGAAAACAACGAAACATGAAAACCAGGTAACACAGAACTGAAGCAGCGTCGACCAGCGTCTCGGTTAGATTCTTACATCAAAACGCTCATTTAAAGATTTTCGAAAAAGCCCTCTTAGCCATTGCATGCCCCGCCAAAAGTTTTCAGCAACTATATGGAAAGACTTATTTAAACCAGGGGGGATTTGAATCTGTGTCAAGTCATGACACGGGTTCATCTAACAGTACATGCAGAATAGCAGTGTGAATGCAAAAAACCTCGAGAGACTCTTACTTGTGTTACATACAGTTCTTTGCCATTACAAGGGATATAAGCTGATGTGGATACACATCCACTGAACACGATACGCAACAACGCTTTGTCAAGAGATGGGCCACGGTGACTAGGCTGAGCGGAAGTGGACAGATCCAAGTCCAGTCTTTGCAAATTGTTGCGTAGCGATCGAGTTACACCGGCAACGCGATCGTGTAATCGTAGGAATGCCGGATTATCGGGACCGACTAGGAACGGATCGGGGATGTGAACTGCCTGAGACACGGGCTCACTTGACGAGGAACCAGGTGATCCATGAAGCTGATTATTTGTCGAATGAGCGTGCTGCCCATTGGATAGGTCAGCTGACACGGCCTCCTGGATGGAGCGGAGCGGTGCGACTATGAAACCCTCTGGGTCACATATATCACCACTTTCGTTGTCCGCGAAAAAGGCTTCTGTGAAAAGGAAAAAAAGGATCAGGTAAAAACACAACTGACCAGCGATAACAGGATAGAACTGAATGCGTGATGAATTCCGAGAGGAGATATCACGATTGAAGGCGTTTGGGACAAAGCTATTAGGTCTTATTTCTTCGTTCCGTCTTACAGCACAACTGAGCATGGAGTATAGAAAACAGATGCTGCAAGATATTCCGCCTACTCTTTTCGTTCGCCAGAGGAAAATGAGCCGACGCTTATAGACAAAATTGTGTCCGTAACTAGAGCGAATCAATATAAAACGAACGTACAAAAAATAAACAGAGATCATATCTGCGTTAGCACATTCAAGGTGCAGCGAAGTCAAGTCAAGAAAAGCTTTATGCACCCAAAGGGCGAATTTTCAGCAGTTTACGATTTTTACGGTGGATGAGCAAAACAATTGCAAACAAAAAAGACAACATAAGAAATTCTACCCTTAAATAAATGAGAGAAAAGTTAGGGCAAGAGTTTTTCCCTCAGGTGGATGAGAATATGCTGACGATTTACCAGTAAACGAGTTAGGTAAGGAATTACACTGTTTCGATATGTGGAAGTTCGCGCAGGAAGCAGTTGATACTTGGAGCGTGTTCGGGGAATTGACAGGGCATTCGCGATATCTTGGTGAAGACAGTGCCCTTGATCATGTGTTATCCTGTCAATGAGTGTATCACAAGCGTCAAGATGCTTGGAAATAAAGAAATTAACTAAAACAACTCTATTAACTCACTGTAGCGGGACAAACGTTTAAGGGATCTCGAAAAAAAGTGAAGTCTTTTTCTTTCAGTCCAGCGATAAAAGTCGGGGAGCAGTATAGCCAGTGTGGAAGAATGCAGGAAAGCACAAATTTAATAATAAGATAATGTGGTACAGCCAGTTTCCTGAGCCTGTAAGCGTAGAAAGACAGTTTTCGAACTTTTGTAAAAACGTTCATGACATGAGCAGACCAGGACAGGTTATGGGTAAGGGTCACACCAAGGTATTTAACAGATGCAGATTTGGGAATACTTTGATTGTTTATTCTAAGATCAGGAAGATTATCAACTAATGAAAAATAAAGGGGACCGGTTTTAAGACTAAATAGAACTTTGATGCACTAACTGACGTTAAGTTTAAGGGATCGGGTCACAGACCAATCGTGAAGTTCATTAAGACTGTCCTGAAGAGGTCGAAAACTGTCTGAAATAGGGGCTGGGCAAGCAATCACAATATCGTCAGCATACTTACACGAAATAAAGTTGACGGGAATGGGCAGATTTTGTATATACATAGAAAACAAGAAAGGGAACAAAATAGCACCCTAAAAACATCGGCTTCAACGATAATAGAAGACCATACACCATTGAGTGAAGTAAACTGGATCCTACGGCAGAAGTAGTCGATGAGTACATTCAAGACTTCAAGATTTAGACCACACTCAGAAAGGCGTTCAATCTTCGGTCGAGAGAACCAAAAGTGTTTGTATAGTCAACAAAAGTTAAACGAGTGGTACCAGCACCGTTGTCTAGGACGGAAACAACAGAAAGAACAATATGAGCAACAGCGTCAAGTGTGGACAAATGGGGTTTATAAGCCAATTGTAAAGGGTTATGGGAGTTACACTGGGGTATCATGCGGTGCAGCAAAACATTTTCAAAAGCCGTCAGCAACAGATTTGCAGACAATAGGACGGTACTTTGACGATACTTTCTTTAGGATTGGGCTGATCCGGGCTGACCTCCAACAATCGGGGATCGTTCCAGATGATAAACAAGTACTGAACAATTCGACAATAGGTGTCGCAAGCTGCTCGGCGCAGGTTTTCAACAAATGAGGTGCTAATCCATCGGGACCATGAGCTTTATTGGCCTTGAGTCACCTCAAAACTTGGGGAACCTCGTCCGGAGAAACAGGGTTTATTGCATCATGGGTAGGAAAAGGTGGGAGGGAGCTAGATACAGGTACAGAAGCAAATTGACGGTTAAGTACCTCAACGTTGGGACAAGAACTAATGCGTGAGCCACAAGGTAGTTCACACCTCACGAAAGCTTTGATTGCCCAAAACAGTCTCGACGTACATCCCGTTCAGGCGTCTTACTTCTGCTCTAATCAGAACAGAGAGCTCTTTGACAGTGTTACGCCTGCCGGCCATATATGCCGTCTGTTTAGTCGCTTAAAAAGGGGTGAGGAAAACCTATCGGTACGAATATAAATAGTTTCAACAGGGCGGCATTGGTAATACCAGAAATTGAGATAATCGGTAAGATATTCGCAAGAAGAGGACAGCTGATTATGGAAGAACACAGAAAACTCAGTAGAAGAAACTAAGTCCCGCAGTCGGGACAAGTTCTCAGGAGAACAATTTCTTTTGCGTAGCGTACGAGAGGTGGGTAGTGTAAGAAGGCAGTGATTAGTTTTACAATATATTTTGGGGTAAAGAAGAACGGTACAGTGGTCAGAAGTGCTAATTGGGGCTCGTTTAAAAAGGTGAAACATACTGGGACTGTTTACATAAATGCCATCAAGAAAGGCGGGTAGGAAAATTTACAATGTTCTCTAGGCCTAGAGTGATTAGAAAGGAAGTGTCAGAGCGATTGAAGTCACTAGCGGTTATACATAAGGACTGGTCAATACAACTGGCGAATTGCGTCACTACAGTATCAGAAAATATTCTCAAGTCGGGGGCGAGTGTATCAGGGGCAATATAAATACTTACAAAGTAAATGACGCGAAATCTGCTGAGAAAGCGGGGCTTGCAGCAAACAAAAGTACAATTAATTTTACTTGTTGAGTAGGAAAAAAACATACGAGTGTTACATCAACTTCAATTTACGAAAGTGACCACTCCGCCACCCCTGATGCGAAATTTCACAATCCGATCACTCCTGAAAATATCAGAACCGTCCAAACCGACCACATCATCCTCAATATCCGGGTATAACCAGCTTTCCTGAAGTAAAATGACTCTCATACTCCTACATTGCTTCTGTTGCACCAGATTCTGGACGTCATCGATTTTTCCCACAAGTGAGCGAATGTTACTCTAACAAATGGACGGAATGGTCATCCTGTTGATAGAACTTCGCCGGAGCGCAACCTGCTAGCCAGCGCGATGCTTTTTACGGTGACCTTGACGTTTATTTCTCAACCGTTTGTAACGATTCCTCACGGAATGAGAAAACGCTGAAATTCCAACGACATTCGCGAAAACACAGAAAGATTTCATAAAGTAGGAGCTGTAGGTCAGCAGTTGACCATGAAAAATTGTTGAATCGATGTAAACGTGTACGGTCAATAGCATCCACTGCAAAAAAGACAAAGAGTTGTCCAACTTTGAAAAGCACGGCCGAAATTCAAAGGCCCCGATGATCTAGAGTTAGTTAGTTTGAACAACTGGGTTCCGTAAGCCGATTCGCTTGACGGTCAAAGTTTCGGATTTGGAACAGATACCGATTCGAAAGAACAGATTAGCTCAACTTTGTGCGTCATTGTGATCAGGTGTTTCGCAATCCACGGCCCAGGATCTCGGTTAGGACAGACGCCGGATGCGTTTCGTAACAATGACTGACAGCCCTTGGTCTGTTTTTCACATCTGTTGTGATGAGGCTCGATTTGTTCTGTTCACGTAAATGTCACCACAAATAGAGGTGAACGGATACATTAGATGTGACGCGTAGATTGTGGAAAATGAACGCGACGGTTGTCTAGAACAATATCACGGATGACTGATTGGTGGTACGGTCCACGGTGAAGCTGTTTGTGACGACACATCGTTGAATTCATGGTCCCTTTGGAGATTAGCCTGGTGTGTGTATACAACGTTTTCAACGTTGTGTGCATGGATCGAGTTGTTCTGTAATTATCGATTCAGTAACATCTGATCGAAAAGATGAACAAAGATGGGCTGATCTTTTCACTGGAAACCGTTTGTATCTAATCCAAACCCGAAACCGATGGTATTAGCCGAAACGAGGCTAGTCAGATGATGCAAATCAGTTCCTTGTGCCAGAGGCTCCGACAACCACGGATATATTTTCAGGTCGTTTTTGTAACCTTTTCGTCGCACCGCTTAATGTCCATGTATCGCAGTTATTAACAATATTGTGCAAACTGCAAATCCCTGCAAGTCAGTCACTGAAATGGGTAAACGTTAAGAGAACGTCTTAGTGTATTTGTCTTTCATACGCACAGTGCGTATGAAACCCCGTGGGATTAAATTCAGATATACACACATATCGAAGGGCTTCAGTTCAGAAAACAGAGCTAAGAAGAAACTCGGTTCTAAACTTGAGTCCTACTTCTTCACAAGTTCGGGTAAAGTGGCCAGATCCATACCAGTTCGTGTTCCTGAAACAACAGCTTTTAGCCGTAAAGTTCAACGAGAAGTGCACGATCGATGCACTTCTCTATAAACGACCTCCCGCACATTCCGAGATCACAACTCTACTGTTGGCGGTTGATGATAAAAACCTGGAGGATAGTTAAGAAGAACAAATGGACTACCAACCATACCAACAACACTGTGCAGTTCATCATTGGTCTGTCGATAACGATATTGAATTTACCGAACTCATATGGAAGTAGTAGCGCTGTATCACCGTGCGATGATGAATTGATGTTGGATCTTTCCGTCAAGGTTCACGAGGACCTCCAACACCGTTCCACGAGTTCCCCCATATGCCCTGAGATCCGTAATCGAATGATTTATTAACAAATCACAACTTCGATACATGCATTTGAGTAGGTGTCTACAATGGTAGGACAAACAATTTCCATGTAAGGGATCCAGGGTGAGGACCAAATTGGTGCCCCCGGATGATTTGCTGAGCAACAGCAAAATCCGAGTTTGGAGCTTCATGAGTGTACAGTCGACTGAAAGAACTGTGTGTGGATGTGAAGGTCAAATTGACAGGATAATCAGAAAAAAATCAATAATATCAAATTTCACGTGTTCTCAGACCGCTATTCGCGCATATTTGTGCGAATAGATCACAGAAGCT